ATGAGGTGCTGGGATCTGAGCTCAGGTCCTCTGGAAGACTAGCAAGTGCTCTTCGCCTAGGAATTGACTCTTTCGTCCTCAGCTAATTCACTCTTGAGCATCAACCTCTCTGTAGCTGTGAACGCTACATCCCAGCGAGCCAAGTGCACTTCCATTTCCTTGAAAAGATGCTATGCTTTCTTCTGTCTCATTTGAGCCGCTGGCTTGTTCCTCTGCTTCTGCTTACAGCATCACTGGCCTGTTCTCCCACTTGCCGGGCTAACTGCATCCTTGGGTCTCGACAGTGACTTCCTTAGCAAATTCTGCTGGCGTTTCTGTGCTCTTCCCAGCGCCCATGAAGTGTCTGATCCTAGTACTTTCACCGCTGTCCCTTCCTTCCTTCTCAGCATCACCCTGCCACTGACCTCTATCTGTTGTTTTCCCCCATTAGACTAGAGGCTTGTGGGAAGTCAAGGGCATCTTGATCTTGGTCATGGCTAGGTCTCTCTCCGGCATTCTTAGAGTAAATATTATCAGAGAAAAATGTTTGCCTCTACATTTATGGTGTTTGGCAGAGATGGCTGGAAGATGGCATTGGCAGCAAAATGAAGCCCTTATTTTTGGACCTTAGAAGCCAGGGTTGAAATACCTGGGGTGCCTGTTTTTTTTTTCCTGTGGCTTCTTCGGAAGCTAGAAGGAAGCAACTGTTTTATGTTCCCTACCAGCCGTGCCCTGAAGGTCTGTTTGTCTTGAAGGGACTAATTATAAGTCCCCTCAGCGCGGACTGTGACCATGGAACTCTCTGTGCCATCAACACACAGAAGAGCAAATATCCCTACTCTCTAATGGGTTTGTGCAGGACTTAAACACCCTCCGGGCCCTGTGATTTGGAGCAATGGAAAGACGCCATGTACATGTAACTTCAGCAATGGAGAAGGAATTTATTTTTAATCAAAACTGTATACATTCTGCCCAGTATGATCAGCTGTGGTGCTTTTGAATGTGTTGATGAAGTTTGGCATCTCTCCATATTTGGAGAAAAGCTAAAACTGTGGCAGAAATGAACCTTTGTCCTCTGTAAGTGGCTGTTTAGGCCCCATTTCTGAAACACATTTATTTTGAGTGTTGTGAGAGATTTTCTTTTCGCTTTTTTTAAAATGTCGTTCTTTCTCTCTTTCTGTTTAAAACCCTCTTTCATGATATAAAGCAAGTTTTTTTTTTATTTGTTTGTTTTCGTTTTAAACTGGTACCTATCAGGTGGTAATTTGCCAGTTAGTCTAAGGTAATAAGAAACTCGAATTTGGATTTGATTCAGTTCCATTAGGGCAGATTTAAATTTTTGTGATACAGGGGCTATTATCCTGGTGGCTGAGAGGGATTTTTGTGCTGGGCATCGAGGCCGACAAAGACCACACTGTGCACGCTCCATCCAGAACGGAGCACTTTCACACAGCAATTTAGGAGCTGTGCAGTTCAGGAAATTGCTGGCTTTGGCTGGACCATACTTTTACTGCAAGGAAAATTTTATTCGTCACTCAAGTAATTGGCAGTTTTAATACCTTGTTCATAATTACCTTATAAACAAACGAATATATAAACCGAAGATTGTATGGCTTGTTATCTGACTTGCAGCCTTATTTGACCAACATGATAGACACCTGTGGGCCTCCCTTTCTCTACCTCAAAAAACTAATTTGCTCCATTTATTAGGGAAAAAAAAGTAATAATAACGAAAGTAAACACTACAGCTATTGTTCTCCTTTTGTTGTTGGGAAATACCATTTAAGTCTAGGAAGTCTAGCCCCAGACAGCATGGGCCCAAACCAGGTGCAGACGTGAAGGGAGGCATGAGACAGGGTGAGCCTGGGCACTTGAGGGCTGCTGGGGGATGGGGATCCTGGTGCTAGAAACACCGGCTATGTATTTAAGAGAAATTTTCTGTCCCCCAAATTGTGGTTTTGTTCAGCCCCTAGACCCTGACCCTAGGGCCTCTTGGCTTGGCTTGGACCGCCTCCATCTCCGGGACCTAGAAACTGACTAATTGTCACACTTGCATTAGCCTCTACCTCACAGCTAGATCAAGGAGTTTGTTCTCCGGCAAACCCAGATGTGGGAAACCCAGATGTGGGAAACGGTCAAAACCAGAGGTCATGGCTGACTTGACTCTAAACAAAGCTATGGGGATCCAAGGGTCTTTGTAATTTGTGACTTGTACGTAGGACTGCTGTTTCTTTCTTTCTTTCTTTTTTTTTTCAGACTTTACTGTGATCTTGGCTTTGAAGGTATGCTGTGCCTTGTGAGCTTGTTACCCGGTGCAGCGTGGCTTCTGGTGGAGTTCTATTCTCTGATGATTCGGGTCTTAAAGATCAAACAGACAGCACCCTAGAGTCCTTAAAAAGAATAGACTAAGGGTTTGAACTGTAGCTTGAGAAGGTAGTTGGTGTCCTGTTTGGAGCCCGTGTCTGTGCGGTTCCTTCCTCCTTGTTTGTTGTGGGGAAGGCAGCACCTGGCCTTGGCAGCATCAGGAAGTCGAGCCTTCCTACTGCAGTGGGCGCTGAGTACACAGATCCCTGGAGGCCTGGTCTGTCTGGGAGAGGAGATTGAAAGGGGCCCTGGCTATGCCTGTGATGATGGATCAGGGGGCCAGTTGGATTTCCACATCAGTTAGAAAATAGAAGTTAAGAGGGTTTTTTTGTTTTTGTTTTTGTCAAGGTAAGACGCAGCAGTTCGTTCTGAAGGAATGTGTGTAGTGAGAAACTGCCAAAATATCTCTGATGCTCTGTGTCCTGGAAAAGAAACCTGGGATTGTTTGAGGACTAACTCAGACTTACTGCTTGAGGTGTCTCAGAAGTGGTTGGACTGGTTATACAAAAGACCTAGTTTCCCAACTTTAGATTATCTATTATATTTGTGAGAGAAATTATTTTATCATTCAACAGCATAATGTATAAAACATGCTTCATGTATGACACCTAATGTGTGCTCACCATTATTTCTGGTTTCATTGCATTCCAGCACAGTGGCATGAACACAAATTCCTGCCCCAGAGAGTTTGCAGTATGTGTACATGTTAGGATGTGATGCAAGGTAGGATGTTAGGATGTGATGCAGTGTAGGGTGTCAGGATGTGATGCAGTGTAGGATGTCAGGATGTGATGCAGGGTGGGATGTCAGGATGTGATGCAGGGTAGGGTGTCAGGATGTGATGCAGTGTAGGCTGTCAGGATGTGATGCAGGGTAGGATTTGGGAGCCCATAGAAGAGATACAAGATGGAGAGACGTCTCTGAATTATTAATCAAAGCTTAATAAACCCAAAGTAGTACAAAAGCCCAGCTTCTGGCGACATAGCACACATGAGGGCTCTTTTCCCACTAAGGAGAACATACATAGGAGATATACTTTCTGATTTCCTTGGAAAGAGTTACTGCCAACCGTAGAACTACAGGGTGAGGTTTGTATAACATGCAGAGTCCTATGTGCAATGCTCAGGTAGTCTGGCTTGTTCTTTGGGTTGTAAGGCGAAACCCTTATTATGACTGTTTCCAGCTTCCTTACTTTAACATGTTGCTAAGTGATGCTCTCAAAAGTCCATGCTACCTGAACTTGTGTGACAGTGGAGCACTCCTGCCTTCTAGCTCATTGTCACTTAGTGCTAAGTTTCCCCTTGGAAGCTGTAGTACCTGTGTTCATTTGTAAGAGTGTGACTGGGCTCCCCGCTCCCCTTTCCCCAGTTGAAATGCAATAGAAAAATGGTGGGAATCTTCTATCTCGTTTGATGCTGGCAGACACACTGGCTAGTGCTCTCTTGAAATGTGGGTACTGCAATGAAGGAGCACTCCTTTTTGTTTGTTTGAAACATAGCCTTTTTAAGTAGGCGAGGCTGACCCATTACTTCTGCCTCTGCCCCCTGAGTACTGGCACTAGAAGTCTATCCCATGCTCAGTAACATTCACTTATGTGTGAGTGCTGTAGGTTGTGCATTGGTGTGTGTGTGTGTGTGTGTGTCTGTGTGTGTGTCTGTGTGTCTGTGTGTGTATGCTTACATTATATTTAATGACTTGTTTGTAGCCAGTGGCTACCACTGTGGTCTACTTTGGTCTGCTATTGAGAACTGGTAATGTCAAGCATGTCTTAATATACCTGCATTTAGAGACTGTTCAGGCTGTTTGGTCTTCTAGGATACATTTGTAGCACAGAAAGCCCAGCGGCTGTCCTTTGGTGTGGAAGTCTCTGACAACCTAGTAACTTACTGTAAAAACAGGTGGTCTTTCCAGCCAGGCACTAGAGCAGCCACAGGCTGATGCGTATTGGAAGTTGACTGCTACCATGCTGTAAGGCAAAGAATTCTATAAAGAATCAGATTTGGAATCAGGGAGAAATACAGCTGACTAGATGGCTCTGAAGGTAAATGCACCTGCTGTGGTAGCCTCCCCAGCAGACTGCGGCCCCCAGATGCTGTGGAAACATCACAAGTGGAAGGGGGAAACTTGACTCCACAAGTTCTCTTCTGATCTCCACATGTGTAGCCTCTTCCACTAATAGTAATAAATGCAGTAAATATGAATATATGTGTATATTCATTATATATATTAAGAATGGGGAAGGAAACTATATTTTATATGTGTTTATATAACATATATTATATATACAGTGTATGTATATATTTGGGTGGGGAATGAAGGCATTGTGGTTTGTGTGCCCACTCGGTGATAGATGTTTCATTTACTATCTAATAAAATAGGAAGAATTAGAAAAATAATCTGAAAGATTAATCAGTTGCGTTTAAATGCATGACAACGAGCGATGCTAACTGTGTTTAGAGGTATGTGTGGCGCTGTTCTTCATATAGTCAGTATGAACTCAGAGAATACGTGGCCATAAGGTTGCTGTTCGTCTTTGAGAAGTACTGTTTAGCTCAACCAGTCTTCCATATTCCTGAAGAACAAGTCAGGAAAAGGTAACACTCTTCTCCCGTTGGTTTGTGCCGTTGACCTGTTACCCGGCTGTGTTTTAATTGCAGGGCTGGGAACAGCATTGACGAAATCCTCCCTGAGCAGCTGGAGCCTTTTCAGGCCCTCGAGACCTTGGACCTGAGCAACAACAATATTTCAGAACTGAGAGCTGCGTTTCCACCCTTACAACTCAAGTATCTGTGAGTAGAAGTCACCAAAGCCTTTCGCCCACAGTGAACATACTGTTATGATGGAGGTAGGCGCTAAGATACAGCAAACTCCATTTGACAGTTGTTCAGTTAAAATGTAGCTTTCTTATTGACTTGAAATTGACAATAAGCCTAATTAGGTATTGCAATTTAAAAAAAAATGCCCCAAACTACAGCCTTGTTGTATTTTATTAATAATAATTCCATACAAAGTCTCTGTATTGGTAACAAGTATTTGTGGCCCAGGAAGTTCTCAGACTGTCCCCTGTCACTATGTGTATACTAGTTACTTTCCTGGATGCTGTACTCAATTCCTGACAAGAACCTGTTTAAGGGAGGGAGGGACTTAATTTGACTGACAGTTTGAGGGTAGAGTACATTCTGCCAGGGAAGGCATGATGGGAGAAGTGGCAGGCAGCCCTGTCACAGCATGGGCAGGAAGTCAGGCCAGATCGTGAAACCCTAAGTCCCACCCTCTGTGGTCTACTTCTTCTAGCTAGGCCCCACCCCCAACATTTTTACAACCTTTTAAAAGAGCCCCATGTGCTGGAGAGTAAGCTTTCCAACACATGCGCCTGCCGTGGGCATTTTATATTAAAGCTATGGTGTTTTATATTCATGGAACCCAGGGCTTCTTCACACCTAGCAGGTGAGGATTCTGCCGGTGAGCCATATCCCATATGTGTAAGCCTTGATTTATTTACTGAGACCTCAGTGTTAACAGCTGATGGTCAGGTTCTCTGGAAAGCATTTTACCTTCCCAAAGAAACCTGAGCAAACCTCTGACCTTCACACTCTCGACAGGTTTATCAATAGCAACCGAGTGATATCCATGGAACCGGGGTATTTTGACAATTTGGCGAGCTCGCTCCTGGTGCTGAAGCTGAACAGGAATCGAATAACAGCTGTTCCCCCCAAGATGTTTAGACTGCCCCAGCTCCACCACCTGTAAGTGAACGAAGCCTCCTGGATGTCACGCCCTCACCTCTACACCTTTGGTGTCCATATTCTGATCCCACAGCCTGGCAGGGGAAGTCTAGTGGTGAGCAGGTAACTGCCTTCCCCTTTCATGGTGAGAGCGGTAGAATCTCCAGATTGGGCAAAGCCCTCCCAATTACCTCACGCCAGCCGCTGCCTGACTAGACGCGTCAGACAGTTGCTGAAGGAGCAAGCAGTGCGCTGGCTGAGCAATCCCTTCACAAAGGTGCCATTGTGGACCTGGGGGAAACCACAGGGTCTCTCAATAGCTGTGGTTTAGGAGAATAATACCGACAACTCTGGGATGCTTTGATAGCCTAAATGGCTGTAAAGAACCGTCTTGTTAAGAACGGTAGAACGGTTTGTGAACAGGTTCCCGCAATGGCACTTTTTTTCAGCCTTGGCTGCGCATTACGGAGACTTGGGGAGCTTTTCAAAACCCCAGTGCCCAGGCTTCACCCTAGACCAATTATACTAAAACCTCTGGGGGTTGCAATTTGAGCTTTGGGGACTTTTAAAGCTCCCTAGGTGGTTCCAGTGTTCAGCAGAAATAGAGGGCTGTAGCCTGCAGGGAAGCAGCAAACTAAAAACTTTGCATACGTATGGAGAAGGATTTCTGTGCCGCTCCTTTGTAGACCTTCTGGGATGGTTATCACTCTTAATTCTGCATCAACAAAAGATGGATATTAATTAATTTGCTGCTACCCTTAGTACACAACAGTTTAGAAATGAAACTCTGATGTACTTCCTGTATCATTCCAAAAATATATCAAATATATTTGACACGGACATTCACCCCCTGTAATAAATTGGAAAAAAAATGAAAAGTGTGGGAAATTTAAAAACATTCTGTTAGTTTAGCACTGATTGGGTAAAATACATTGTAGTATGTGACACATTTTTTTACTACCTCTAGAATTTTCTTGTCACGTGAACTAAATGCTTCATTGTCTCATCCAATGCAGTGAGCTGAGCCGAAACAAGATTAAGAACGTGGACGGACTCACATTCCAAGGGCTGGGGGCACTGAAGTCTCTGAAGATGCAAAGAAACGGAGTCACAAAGCTCATGGATGGAGCTTTCTGGGGGCTGAGCAACATGGAAATCCTGTAAGTGGGGGTGATCGTGGTTCCCACTCAGATGGAACGACCTTGGGGTGCTCAGTAGACCCTTGGTAGCTCTTATCCAAAAAAAAAAACCCACATTCAATTCTTACGCTATGCAACCACAGCTATGGTTTGTTACTCAGCTGTGTCTCAGACGATCTGAGAATTCAGAAGTACATAAATCTTGTGCTGATGTCTTTCTATCTTGAAGCCAACTATCTAGGCATGTTAGGGATATGTCATGGGCTGCAGCCAGCCATGCGTGTCCAGACTAGATTATGAACTCTGGCTCCTGTCTCTGGTTCTCATTGTATGTGTAGGCAGCTAGACCATAACAACCTCACGGAGATCACCAAAGGCTGGCTCTACGGCTTGCTGACGCTGCGGGAGCTTCATCTGAGCCAGAATGCCATCAGCAGGATCAGCGCAGATGCCTGGGAGTTCTGCCAGAAGCTCAGCGAGCTGTAAGTTCCCTTTTGTTCTCCTTGGGTTCGAGAGCAGAGCTCATTCTGGAGGAGGGGTTCTTACCACGGATCTCTGGGATTGTCATAACCAAGTTTCCCAGGCGACGGCGACTTTCCTAGGTGCCCTCTGTTGTCACTACATTCGGTTGTGACGAAGTTGAAGCCAGTTCTGCTCTGTTCAGCTCTGTGGCACACTGACAAAAGCAGTCATTGTTTCATAAACTGTTTATTTAATTTTAATTGCTGAGATGAGAAGTGACGTCTACCTGGATACTATCTGCGCAGAATTTTAAAACAGGACTATTATAGTTACATTTCTTACTTATCTTTTAGAAGGCAGATTATTGTATTGAACGGAAGGAGAAATGCTCTTTGTTCTTGTTCTTTGCAGGGACCTAACTTCCAACCACTTATCGAGGCTAGACGACTCCAGTTTCCTTGGCCTAAGCCTCCTAAATACCCTTCACATTGGGAACAACAAAGTCAGCTACATTGCCGATTGTGCCTTCCGGGGACTTTCCAGTTTAAAGACTTTGTAAGTTACACATTTTGCTCTTGGTCCACGAACCTAATTGGTTCCTAAATGTGCCCACTTTTCTCCCAGCGGATCTCCTTTGTTGCTGAGGAAATGTGTGTAGCCTTGACTATGGGGTCTTAATCTGTCCCAGAGCAGTTTGATTAGAATAGATCCATTTCATTCATGTGTGTTTCTTTAAGGGATTAAAAAGGACGCTGCTCAGACTGCCTGGTGATTGCAGCTTCCCTTTGCAGGAACACTAGGAAGCTCAGAACTGCTGAAGGCAGAAACAATTTTTTAAGTCCACTAATTTTTTTTTCTTTGTAAATCATAGATTAAAAATAACCCAGACCAAAATAAATACATAAATTTAAAAGGTTATAAGTTATAGGAAAGGCCTTGAAGGAAGGTGAATGTTGGCTCTTCTGGTTACCTACAACCTGATTTCTATCCTAAGAGAAAGAAAAGTGTTGATTTAGCTTGAACATTTGAAAAATCTCTTCAGCGTTAATTGAATGTTGTGCACTGGGCTTTGGATTTTGCACTCATCAGAAACCTGTACCACGGTCTGTCTGGACCCTCCGAGTGGAAAGATGCACCGCACAGTTTGGCACATGTCGGTGTGATGGGATTGGCTTCAAAATTAATGTATTTTTCAAGTTGTTCAAGACTTCAGGGTTTAGCCCTCTTGATAGATTTAACAGGGCTGGCATGGCTGTCTTGGTTTGGGGATAGTTTTTCAAATGTTGAATGCAGCATTCAGGATGTGAGAGGTGCCTTGGAGAACTGAGTTCCTTACTCTGAAGTGGGCAGAGCTGGAAGGCGATTAGCAGGACTTTGGGCACACCACCTGGGCGGTGATCCCTCCTGGGTGGTGACCTGAGGCTTCTGAGAAGTATGTCTAAGGAGAACACTGTGTTTCCTTAGGGACCTGAAGAATAATGAGATTTCATGGACCATTGAAGACATGAATGGAGCCTTCTCTGGGCTGGACAAACTGAGGCAGCTGTGAGTATAATTTGCCTCTTAATTAGCCCCCTCTATGAATTAAAATTATTGTCATAATTGAAGTCAGATCCATAAACTGACATCATAGAGTCATCAGAGGTGGATATGTCATCTGGTTACACCCTTGGTCCTTCCCCACAAATGCATGCTATTGTCCATGATGTTTGTATATTAATTAGTTTTTCTTCCTTGGATGAAAGGAAGAAATTTGAATCCTGGAATTGGTCTAACTCATGTTGATATCTAGATAAGAGCTTGAATTTTACTTTGACCATTACCCATTAGGAATGATCACTGTGTTGAAGGGACTGTGTTTATGCCAACATTTAGAAGCCCCCACAGTGTGCTGTAGTCATGAGTTCTCATATGAAGCAGTCCACTGTCTGTATCAGTCACACTGCATCAGGGTCCAGAAAGGATGCAAACACTTCATATTCAGCCACAAAATGGTCTTGTAGACTGCTCTTTGTTTTCTGTTGGTGATGGAGGGTATCTATAGAGAAGGGGGTGGGGCAAGCTACACTGTGGAGCAGTGTGATCCCCAGAGGACCTTATTTGTTTGGCACCTGTGTTTGTGGAGTGTGTTGGTTATCCTTCTGTTGCTGTGGTAAAATGCCATGACCAAAAGCATCTTAAGAGTTTGCTCTGGCTATGGTTCTAGACAGCTAGGTGTCCATGCTGGTAGGGAAGGCATGGCAACAGCAGCAGTGGGAAGCTGGGAGACCACATCTCTGCCACAGAGTAAACTGGTGGGGGGGTGGGGGGGGCGTGCTATCAACTCTCCAGGGCCGCCCCCCAGTGATGTACTTCTTCCATCATATCCTAAAAGTTCTGTGACCTTCACAAACTGCGCTGCCAACTGGGGACCATGTGTTCAAAGAGAGGAGCCCATAGGGGCGTTTCCATTCAAGCTCCTACATGGAGGTGTCTGTCGAATGCTTTGAACTCATGTTAAATCATGTTACTGAACATGAGATCAGGGATCCAGTATTTCAAGTTACATTCTTTCATTGACGAAAATAGTTTTGTTTGCAAATGAGAATAGTCCTTTTTATGAGTTCTGTTCCTTAAGTGGCATTTTCAAAATTTACTACAATGTGATTGTACCTCTTCCCCCACTCCAGAATGCTCCAGGGAAACCGCATTCGATCGATTACCAAGAAGGCTTTCACTGGTTTGGACGCGCTAGAACATCTGTAAGTAGCTGGGACTGAGTTCCCCTAAGGGTAGTCCCAGATGCTCTCTGTCTATGACTCCTGAAACGTGAAGCAAATAGCCTGTGCCGACTGCATCCTCCTACACTGTAAAACACATTTACACACCTACCTGTCGTCTGTCAGTCTTGCTTCCTTCATCATCATACGTTTACCTGTTGGTTTTCTTTTCACTTAAGACCATCGCTCTTCCTTTCATGCTCATTCATCTTTAAGCAGTGACAGCTGTAATTTAAAACAACCTAACATATATTGGGCACTTATCAAAGTCTGGTCCTTTTGCCAGATACTGAATGTATAAGTATCTGTTGCTCCATTTAGTACTTGCAAAAATACTGTTCAGTAGCTTTTAAATCGTTAAATGAAACTCCTGAAGATTCATGGGTTGTGTTTGTTTAACAATTAAGATCACTTGAATATTAAAGATCAAAAAGATGTCCCTGAGAGGGATGTGCTGGAGCTTTGAGAGCGGGTGACAGTGTCATGAGAACCTTTGCTGTTGTTGTTGCTGGCTGTAAAATGTGCAATCTAGCCCTCTCTGTTACTATCTTTTGCTCTCCACACGTCAGTTGGGGAGTGCTAGGAAAACACAAGATCCGGCTTTTTCTGGCTCCAGAAAAACCCTAAATCCCTTTGGCCCTTGACTACTCAATCCGTGCCCCATCTCGGAAACCTTTGGCACACATTTATGAAATGAGATTTCAGGGTGGAGGGTTTTCAGTTACTAAAGAAGATGCTAGCTCTGGGGAGTATTGCTTAAGTATTATGACAACGGAACCAGCCTCACACTTCCATTTCAGATCACAGTGTAGTTTGGAATGTTTGCTCGACTGAGGAATGCTTGTAGCCATAAGTTTTCCGACATGCTAACTTGAACAATGGTATCATTTAGATGCACATCTGGGTTGTACCTCACCAGGACTGTGTATTTGGGTGTTAGTCTGCCGGCTGCCTTGTGGGCTTTCACAACCTTACCGGTTGTTTTAAAAGAGACATGGATGGCCAGCTCCCCCGACAGCCGTGCAGAATGAGTCTGCAGAACTGAGCACTGCCATGTCAAGCCAAGACTGCTGTTACTGAAACAGATTATTTTCGGAGGAAAACTAGCCAAAGCGTTTGTCAACTGGCCCGTTCCATTTCTGGGAAAGTGGAATTAGTGGATCAGCAGAGTATTAACCTCTGCTTCAATTTTCTTTGACCTTCGCTGAGTCTCCCAGACTCTTTCCCTGCCCAAGTCTAGCACCTTCCTTCTTTGTTTTCCCATCTACTTGCTCATTCAAAATCCCCCTTATATGCTGTGGACTGTGAAGAAAAAAAAAAAAAAGACTAAGGAAGTAACCATTGTGGCTGGTAGTTTAGCTCTCGCTGCTTTAAAGTACTAGTTAAAAATAAAGTCAACACGAACATCCTCTCATTTTATGGTTGTCCTGCCTTGGAACCTCATTTGCTTTATAAAGTGCATCTCCTGTGAACATCGCTGCTTTTGCAGTGGAGAGCTATAGTGACAGAATTAGGCTGGAGTAGAAAATGATGGGCTCAACCATTCCCCTTCATGCCAAGCGATGTAGGAGAGCCATCTTTCGCTGGGTTGCTTTAGGAATGCCTGCATTAATGTAGAGCCAAGCACACATCTCAGAAAGTGGCCTACAAAAGATGTTTTCAAAACGCGTAATCATGGAGCATTAGGTTGTGCACTTCATTAATAGCAAATTTGAATAATGAGATCAGCCAGCGCCCTGGAGGAGTCAACACTCTGCGATTGGCGTCAGGAATGACCCCCTCTTCCCCATGACTGAACCCATCTCTGGGTGGGTTCCTTGGCCAAAGCTTTCTGAGAGACTACGCTGCCGTGGTCCCATTGGCACATGCCAACGAACGCGGAGTGCTTGCCCGTCGAGTGGGTGGGCACTGGGGTGTGGCCAGCTGCAGATGTCCATGCAGAGTGCCCCCCTTAGAGTGCGGTGGGCAGTGGGATGTGGCCATTCCTGAAGGACACGCCCTGCAGTGGTTCACCCTGCTGTGTTGGATTTGGCTGTTTTCCAGGGACCTAAGTGACAACGCCATCATGTCTCTGCAAAGCAACGCATTTTCCCAAATGAAGAAGCTTCAGCAACTGTAAGTTTTCCCTTCTCCTTCTCCAGTTTCAAGTCATGCTCCAAAGGGGAGCTGTCATGTGATATGTCATCAAAAAAGAGCAACTAGCGCATTCTTGACATTATTAATGTTTATACCAAGAAACAAGGGAAGTGGGCTGTTTGTTCCCTTGCTTGCAATTGGAATTTCTTTCTCTCTCTGTTTTGAATTTGCAGCTTAAATCTGTGGCACCATATATAGTATGGTTCCTAAATATAGTTCTCATTTTGTATTAGTCAGGAATTTTGACATATCAGCACTTCTGCCTCAATAGGACAATAGGAACAAGAGAAAACAGGTTCTGCTAGCTCATTTCTTGCATTTTAAGGTAGTCTATAGGATATTTACAACCTCATGCATTCAATTTCCAAATTCCTCACTTGGTTAGTATTTATTTAAGTTTGACTTACTTGGAGAAATCTGCATTTCATACCAAACAAATTGAATGTAATTCCTCTCCTCAGGCATTTAAATACATCCAGCCTTCTGTGTGATTGCCAGCTAAAGTGGCTCCCACCGTGGGTGGTGGAGAATAACTTTCAGAGCTTCATAAACGCCAGTTGTGCCCACCCTCAGCTGCTGAAGGGGAGAAGCATTTTTACCGTCAGCCCAGATGGCTTTGTGTGTGGTGAGTAAAAGTGCCGTCCTTGATTTTTTATTAATTCCCTCTTCCTGCTCGTTTGTCCAAACAATGCGTTTGATGAGATGTGTATGCTCTTCATAGGAATTTTCCGAGGTAGGCCAAGTGGATCTAGAGTTTGCTGCCTGTTAGCGTTTTCCAGACACTGGTGGAGTTTGCCGGCGCGTCCTCCTATTTGGTTTAACATCAGCATGATTTGGTGGCAAGGATGAAATCAGATCTTGAACGAGCTGAGAGTTGGCCCCGTGCTCCTCTTCTGCTCTGCTTCCCCCACCCTTCCTCTCCGCCCAGCTGTGGAGGCGTCTGCCTGGCTTTTGACTCTGGTTCTGTAAATGGCGTATCAACAGCTGTCTGTGGTGATGCTACAGTGACACTTGCTCTCTTGATTTTGCTGTTGTCATTTTTTAGAGGCCTGGGAGGAAATTGTAGTTTCTCGTATTAGCTTTCAAAGATGGTCCCTGAGTCTGGGAGGTGCATTCTTCTCTGTGTTCATGGAGATCATACCTGGGCCTTGTGTCCTGGGCAGGAGCTCCTCCAACAAACGGTAGCTCCAGGTCCCCTCTCTTCGCCGTTCTCTTTGTTTATAATTTTTGAGATAGGGACTCACTAAGCTGTTTAGGGTGGCCTGGAACTCACTCCACAGGCTACTTCCTAAGTAGCTAAGTAGCTCTGAGCTACCAATCCAAGGAACCTGAAAGCGCCTTAGCTGGCGTTTGTCCCTTAAAAAAAAAAAAAAAAAATCAGTGTTCTGTTTTAAAAAATAATTTTCACTAATTCATATATATATATATATATATATATATATATATGTATATGTATATGTAAATACTTCCTCACCATTGCCCTTTGCCAGCTCTTTGTCCTCTCCCACCAAACCCCCTTTTTGGTGACCCACTGTGTTTAATAAGCGTGGTCTATATGCGCATGGTTGGGTACATTATTTACTCATGAACAGGCAATGCACTATAGCTATACGACTCCCCCCTTCCTCAGCAACCATAACTGCCTACCGCTCTCAGGAAGGGGCGAGGCCAGCACTAAGCTCCTCTCGCATCCAAGATGGCGCCACTTGTGGCATCTTTGTGCAGTTTGCTGGGGTTTGTTGAGAGGCTTGGAGGAAAGAAACTTCAGTAGCCAAGGAATTATGACTTTTGAGACATTAACTGTTGTCAGGTAAAGCGTCAGAAGGAAGGGCAAGTCTGAATTCATTGTAAATCATTTTAAGATCCATTGTCTTAGCAACCAAAAATCTCAGTATTTGAAGTCGTCTTACCCAGAATTCCTGTGGCTAGTTAGGAACAGACTGTGGTTAAAATAAAATAAAATAAAGTTTCCATCTCTGATACAGTTTTCTGTCATAGCTACCAGACTCTTCTTTACTCTTAGCTGCCTTGGAAACCTTTACAAAAATAAATGTGTGTATAAAACACAAAATCAAAATTTGCTTGAATTTAAGCATGTGTGAGAAGAAACTATAGATCCACATTTTATCCTGGCATCATTTAAAATTTGATTATATACTGCTTTGCCTGATAGAAGGTTGCAGAATGTAATGCTGCCAGCAATTTTTAAAAATAAAACTTCTGATGTAGGCTTTGGAACCAAATAAGCTTTTGGCGATCATCCACAAGGGCCTCTTACTCTTTCTCCATACTCTATCTCGCAGCTCCCTGGCCCGGATGTACGAACCCCGGTACTGTGAGACAAACCCATATGCATCGTCTGCGGTGCTCGTCTTTTTCTTTTCCTTCCCCATTGTGAAGCCGAACATTGATTTATGGGATGGAAATTTTTAAAAAATCACACAGAAGCAACTGTCCTATTTAACAACTCACAGGCCTAGGGTTGGAAGTAGGCAGCCAAGCCATGGTCGGGGAAGCACTCAGCTTCCGTTCATGGTCCCAAATTTGTGTTTTCAGATCAGCCATTATCCAGAAGATCTGGTAGCTTCCTGCAGGGTTTATTTAGGCCATCTCTGAGAAAATGAAGTTCAAAAAAGGTAACTCTTCCAAAAAGTAACAGAGAACTAAAAATAACTGCTTAGAATGGGGAGTTGCCCGGCTCTAATTATAATGTAACCCGACAGGCTGCGCGCGCGGCAGCGTGATTGATGGGCTGCCCCACTTCAGGCCCCAGCCAGTGCGCTAGCTCGCACATGCTTTTTCAATTGCTTGATTTATTTTGGGCTTTTTGGGTTTGTTTGCTTTTTGTTCATTATTGTCTTTTCTTAGTTTACTTACATATGCGTCTGCCGGTTTGTCGGCCGATTTGTCTGTCTGTGCATCGGGTGTACGCAGGTGCCCAGAAGGCCAGACGAGGAATCAGAATCGTAGGTACAGGCAGTTATGAGCTGAGCACTGTGGTGCTGGGAACAAACCCCAGGTCCTCTGCAAGAGCAGCCGTGTCTGTCCAGCTGCTTGTTACCATCTTGATGATTCGCAGATGTTGGCTTGCTTATGGTTTGGTTGCTCTTTTGGATGGAGGGCCTGAGCAAAAGATTGTAGATGCTGAGAATAACGTTCAAAGATCATCTATGAGCCTCGAAGTTTTAAAACTGCTTTTCTTTCTTCCTTAAAAATGTTCTTTCATTGAATGGTAACTAATATGGTGATTATGGTAGTTATCTTTGTGTACAAGTGCACTGTGGCCGTTTGGTACACAAAGATGTCCTATGAGCAGATTGGCTGCTACCCAGTAGATCCATCACCTCAAACTTAAATCATTTCCTTGTGCTGGGAACATCTCAAGTCCTCTCTGTGGGCTCTTTTAAAACAATCACTTAATTGCTGTCGGCCAGCCTTACCCCTGCATCCCTCGGTTTTAAATATGGTCTGATTTCCCTTGTTCCTTCTTAACCTCTCTTCTTATCCAAAATACCAGACATGTGGCATAAATGTCTACGATCGTTTCAAGGTACCACTTCTCTCAGTTAGTAAATGACGGCGCCTTCTACTCCATTGAACCTGGGCAGGTTACCTCTGAGCCTTTTCCCAGGTTGTCGCTCATTCCTAGGACCGCTGATGCATCTGTAAAACACAGGCTTGGGGTAACCCCTGAGCTGCCCTCTGCTTTGTTTCCTCTCGTTGGCATTCAAGTGGTGGTGGACTCTGAGGCCCCTCACATCATTTTGTTTCCTCCTTCTCCATTTTAAACAGATGATTTCCCCAAACCCCAGATCACGGTTCAACCAGAAACGCAGTCAGCAATAAAAGGCTCCAACGTGAGTTTTACCTGTTCAGCTGCCAGCAGCAGTGACTCCCCGATGACTTTCGCTTGGAAAAAAGACAACGAACTGCTGCAGGATGCTGAAATGGAGAACTATGCACACCTCCGGGCCCAGGGAGGCGAGGTGATGGAGTACACCACCATCCTGAGGCTACACAGTGTAGCCTTCGCCAGTGAGGGGAAGTACCAGTGCATCATCTCCAACCACTTCGGGTCATCATACTCCGTCAAAGCCAAGCTCACCGTAAACAGTGCGTGATCCATTTCCCTCTAGTGTTAAAAGATATCGTTTAATAATAGCTACAGTGTCTGTCTGCTCCCCCACCAACCCCTGCTTTTTTTCTTATAGTTTCCCACCTAGCTACAGAAAATTGCTATTCTTTATTATTTCTATCTAAAGTAATGATTTATTAGATTTGCCTCTGGATATGGCAGGATGAACCAGAATTAAAATGAACCAGATACTTTTGCTCTCTCTGGGGCACAGTGATGTATGGGACCACACGGCATGCTGTCTTTAAAAGCTCTGGGTGTGAATTCTGTCACTCCTGATACATAGTTACGACTCTCACCAAGTATCTTACCTTTGTACCTGTATCTTCCAACTAGAGATGGGGTCTGGAGAGATGGATGGCTCAGTGTTTATGAGCACTGTTTGCTCTTCCAAAGGACCAGGGTTCAATTCTCAGCACCCACGTGGCGGCTCACGACTGTAACTCTGTTCTAGGGGTTCTGACACCCTCACACAGACACACACACACATGCAGGCAAAACACTAATGCACATAAAAATAAAATAAAATAAAAAGGGATGCCAAGTGCCACTTCTTAGAAATGCCGTGACCCATAAATAAGACAATGTGTGTGTCGGCGGCGTGGCAGTGCGCCTTGGAGTTTGGGTAGCGCTCTGTAAATGCATCCATAGTGGCCACCGTGAGTAAGCAGCGGTGCTGTAGCATCCTTTGCGTGGCAGGCAGACAGTTCTGCAGCTCTAAGATTGTATTTTGGATGCTCTCCACTTTATTGCTTTAACTGTTAATGTCTGCCTGACAGATGATGAGTTCATTGAGCAGGCCCTTGCTAAGGCCTGGCACACAGGAGAACTGAAAGTGTAGAACAGGACGCAGTCACCAAATGTTAGGTCCTGCAGGACTGGGGAAGAATAGATGAAGTCACAGTGCGGAGAGATTGACTGATTTGCCCAAGATCTCACACTTAATTTTTGGGAAAGCTAAAATGTGGCCAGAGAGTGCCTGCCGGGAGGATCTCCCGTCCAAAGATCCTGTGACCCGAGGGTCATTCTGACTCCGTCCCACCTGAGCCTGTGTAGCCCGGAGCAAGCTATTCCGTTTCTCCAGTTCAAGTTTAGCTTCCCTGTCTTAGAGTACTAACCCTGCCTTACCTAAGTCCCGTATCTCCTTGAGTACCCGGAAATGGGGCACAACAGATGACCCTTGGAACTCTGATGTCGACTGCGTGGCTCTTGTGGTTTCAGTGTTGCCTTCCTTCACCAAGACCCCCATGGACCTCACCATCCGCGCCGGGGCCATGGCCCGCCTGGAGTGTGCAGCCGTGGGCCACCCGGCCCCACAGATAGCCTGGCAGAAGGATGGAGGCACAGACTTCCCCGCTGCCCGGGAGAGGCGAATGCATGTGATGCCTGAGGACGAAGTCTTCTTCATAGTGGACGTGAAGATCGAGGACATTGGGGTGTACAGCTGCACGGCTCAGAACAGCGCTGGCAGCGTTTCTGCAAACGCCACCCTGACGGTGCTAGGTATGACAGGTGCTTTCCTAAGACTCTGAGCCCCTCTCGAATGCCCCGACTCACCCAGAGACCCTTCTTGTTAGCAGCAGCTGGGGGGCGAGGCAGATGAAGACACAGAGAGTTCTGTCTTTAAAAAAGCTGCCTCTGGGTAGCTTGGAAGGCAGGAGACATTTTACATATTCAGGCCTGTGACCAGGGAGATGACTCTGCCCCCTACATTCCAAGTACAGCCTCCAGTCTTAACCTTCATAGGCAGGCATTGTTCACAACCATTGGACAGCTCAGCGTTGTAAAAAGTATGAAGGAAAGTGTCTCTAGACCCATCCCCTTCCTTCGCCTCCCATGCCTCTGTGGAAGTCCCAATTCTTACCACCTACTTAAACAGGTGTTTCTCAGATTCGGATCTCTAGGGTGTCCGGGTCTCTAGGAGAGCTACAGTAACCTACCAAGATGTCAGGGAACAGAGGAAGGCCTTTCAAGGTCTCTGGCATGAGAAACTTCATTTTAAAGAAATAAACATGGGGATGGTTAAGAGTATGTCCCACTTCAGATGACCTGCCTTTGGTTCCCAGCACCCACAGTGTCAGTTTGCACCTGCCTTTATCTCCAGCCCCAGGGAACCTACCTCCTTTGGCCTCCACAGGAACACACACCTTTCCACACACAGACATATACATGTCAAATACACAGTTACAAGTAATCAAAGGAAATCTCTAAAGAGTGTTTGCCTTTGTCAACGTATCAACAGCCTTGTACATGAAATTAATATTATTTATTTTACCAATTTTCTAGATTAAATAATATTTTATCTTCTAGTAATTACTAGCCTTGGAACATTATGAGGGAGGGTGAGGTAAAAACTCATAGATTTTCCCGAGGGGATGGGTGATAAGATTCAAGGTTGCCTTGACTGGGGGCTCTTTAATACACCTGTTCAACGAGCTGTGGGGGTATAAGATGTGAATAAATTCCCCTGTGAGCTCTTAAATGGAACCCGGTTTTCATCTAGGAAATCTCAAACCTTGTGTTTTCAGAGACTCCATCATTTCTGCGGCCTCTGTTAGACAGAACTGTCACCAAGGGAGAAACGGCCGTCCTGCAGTGCATTGCCGGTGGGAGTCCACCCCCCAGGCTGAACTGGACGAAAGATGACAGCCCGTTGGTGGTGACCGAGAGGCACTTTTTCGCAGCAGGCAATCAGCTGCTGATTATCGTGGACTCAGACGTCAGCGACGCCGGGAAGTACACATGTGAAATGTCCAACACCCTCGGCACCGAGAGAGGCAACATGCGCCTCAGCGTGATTCCCAGCCCCACCTGCGACTCCCCGCACATGACTGCCCCGTCCTTAGACGATGACGGCTGGGCCACCGTGGGCGTCGTGATCATAGCCGTGGTTTGCTGTGTGGTGGGCACGTCCCTCGTGTGGGTGGTCATCATCTACCACACGAGGCGGAGGAACGAAGACTGCAGCGTTACAAACACAGGTGTGTAAGCAGCAGCCTGGCCGGGGCTGTGGGAGTCATGTGGATTTGTGGTTTCGTAGGCAGGCCCTTCTAGGAGCTATCTCACGGTCTGAGTCCGCCTCACAAGGGTGACTCATCTGCTGCGAGCTGCAGGAATGCGGGGTAGCTAAAAATGACACCCCAGCCTGAAATAACGCCGATGCGCAGAGATTAATGCTTTTTACTAAAACCTCATCAGGATATCCTGATGGCAGAGAGATAAAACCCAAAGCACAGTGAAATAAGCAAGGAGGCAGGAGCCGCAGCGAGGTAGTTGGCTCACCCTCTAGTGGCAGCGCTTTGTGTTCTGTGTACGCATGCACACAGCCCAGCAGGGTTTTGTCGTGAGGGTTGCCTGCACCTTCTGCTACTGATGAGATGGGAACGATCCAAGGGCTCCATTTATGGTTTTGACTCATTACCTTTTGAACATATGGTTTTGAAATTTGGGCAGGGGTGTATTTCGTGGGCAATAAAGTGAAAATTAACTCGGGCCCAGAGCTGCAAAGCAGCCATGGGCCGTTCCTGGTTTTTCCAGAATAGATCGTCCCTTAACTGGTGTTACAGAAACCAGACCAGTGCGGGCAGCTCCGGGGCAAGGCTCCTCATGGATGCTGTTGTTTGATTACAGATGAGACCAACTTGCCGGCCGATATCCCTAGTTATCTGTCCTCTCAGGGAACGTTAGCTGACAGACAGGATGGATATATCTCCTCGGAAAGCGGAAGTCACCACCAGTTCCTTACTTCTTCGGGCGGGTTTTTCTTACCACAACATGACAGTGCTGGTAAGTCTAAGATGTCCAGGGACTGTTGTTTTAAAGTCACGGGGGACATCCCGGATGTAACAGTAATTTTCAGAAGAAATCGGTGACGGTGAGGAGGGCCTAGCCCAAGATTGCTAGCAAAACTACAGTTCTCTCCCCCACCCCATCCTCTTCCTTCCCCCCTTCCCTCCCCCTCTTCCCTTTCTCTTCCCACCCTTTCCCCCCATCCCCACCTTCGCTTACTGTTTTTCCAGAATGGATATTAAGGTTTTCTTAAAGACTAGATACTGTCGGAAGGCGCTCATGAGAAAGAGAGAATCAACCTCAGAGAAAGAGAATTGACCCCTCTGCGTAGGAACAGTGCCCTTTTATAGCTGCTCGGAGAACAAATCTAAACAGAGAAAGACAAGCACAACTAAAACTTGGAAACACAGAACAAAGAAACTGAAGAAAGTAGTAGAAAACCAACCGATCTCCCACACTCGTGGATTGGAAGGATTAAGATTGTAGGAAAATTGCTATCTGAAGCGCTCTACAGATTCATGGAAGTCCCCACAAAATTCCAGTGTCTGGAGCCTGGAGAGATGGCACAAGTGCTCCTCTGGAGGGCTTGGCTCTGCTTCTCAGTGGCTCACAACTACCGTAATTTCAGCTCCAGGGCATCTGCTGTTTTATGTGCGAGTGTGCAAGCTCGTGTGTGCACACCCTGGTACACATACACACACACATTTTTTTTTTATCCTTTTGTTAAATTCTTGAAAAACACTTTTTCATGGTAAGAGAAAATAGGCAAATTAGGTCGAATTTAATTTATCCGAGGATGTCCCTTTCCCTTAGCACTGTGAATGCTCTTTGGCGCTGAGTGTCCCGTGTTGGAGTTTCTTGCATGGTGACAGAGGCCAGGTGTCTTAAACACGACCAGGGGGGAAGCTGATGTCGCTGCTGTGGGTGCCTTATATGTCTGATACTAAAGATGGAGAAAGCGTGGTGCAGGAGCATCTCAGCCCAGACACATTCCCAGTGTACACAGGCGATCAGAGCACTTCCCAGATAGGGGGTTTGCGGGAAGACTGGGAAATACATACACAGTGCTGGGCACATGCCAACGACTCTACCTGTGAAAAGCTGCTGGGGCTTTTCTCAGCGTTTTCTCTTTAGGTATGCACCTTTATTGAGTATTTATAGTTGCTCTCTACCGGACTGCATAACTGGGAAGGAAGCATGCTTGTTTTCAGCTTCAGAGTTTAGTCACCAGTGAGGCGAGTACTTCCCAGTGGACTGCTGTGTCCACTGCTAACTGTTTATCATGCGTGACAACTCTGAGATGATTGTCTCCGTAATCCTCCCACTGCTGTGTCCACTGCTAACTGTTTTATTGTTCCATATGTTTAATTGAGCTACCGGGAGATGTTTTGGTTTGGCTTGGTTTTTTGACTCAGCTTTGAGGGTAGGATACTACGGCTACTAGTCATTGAGTCTGGTCATCTGGAACATTTCACAGAAGGCCATAGTGCTGAGCGTTCAAACCATGGCTGTACGCATCGGTTCGCTTCCATTAGAATCCAAACGGGGCTAGCAATAAGGTTGGCACACTTAGCTCAGTGCTTATCGGGACTTAACTATAGCTGCCCCGATTGGTGGATCCCAATTTAAAACATTTATAGTCCAGGTCCAAGAATAGCTTTTAATGGACCATTACAATTTCAGCTTCATGGGCCTCAAGAAACTGGAAAAAATTTCCTATGTGTGTGTGTACTTTCACTTTCTTACTACCTCCTAGCCAAATTTTCTTCTGTAAATATGGAAAATGCAGAACCAGAGCAAATGTTGAACGACATTTAATACCAGTTCAGTGACTGAGATTTGTTTCTTAAAGGGACATGCCATATTGACAACAGCAGTGAAGCCGAGGTGGACGCTGCCCCTGACCCATTTCTTTGCCCTTTTGTGGGCTCCGCAGGCCCTGTATACTTGAAGGGGAATGTATACTGCCAAGATCCGTTTGAAGTTTATCTTCCAGGTATGGTTTTCTTGACTGAATACAGTTCTGTTTCCTGAAAAGACTTCTGTAGATGGAAGTTTCTGTCCCACCCAGTCCCGCAGCCATTCAGTCCCAAATAAACACACAGAGGTGTATAGTAATTATAAACTGTTTTGGCCTGTTGCTCAGGCTTATTACTGACTAGCTCTTACAACTTAAATTAACCCATATTTCGTATCTATGTTTAGCCACATGGGTTGGTACCTTTTCTCAGTGAGGCATTCTCATCTTGCTTCCTCTGTATCCTTCTTGACGTGCTAACTGTATCTCCTTCTGTTGTGCAACCACCTTGAAAAGGATGCAGTTCTGACCCGAGGGTAGCTCTAATGGACCACTATGAGACCAGCTACATGAAGAAGGACTGCTTCCCATGCGCTCATCCCTCAGAGGAGCCCTGTGAACGGAACCCCAGTAGCATCCCGTGGCCACACTCACGAAAGCCCGTGACCTTCATGTACACTCAGAACGAGGGACCCACACTTCAGCCTCTGTGTTTAAACAAGTCCTCTCTGGATTTTACTACAAGTCAGGAACCAGGATCAGTTACTTCAAGTAATTCTTTCATGGGTAAGTTTATCAAGCTGGGGATTACCTTACTTCTCTGATTCAAGCTTCATCTTGCTTTGGGCAATGGTTTCATTCCTGATGTGATTGTGATGTCCTCCGGGTTGCAGGTCTTTCTAAACTGCAGTCAGGGCTGGGAATTGTGTGTGGTTATGTATTTAATCTGTACCTAAGCCCCAGGAGCTTTCTGGGTTATGCTGTGTGTGGCATGGAGGAGACAAGGGTTTGGGGAATGACTTAGGAGCTGAGTTTGTCAGCCATGTGGAAAAAGTGGTTTTGGGTCCCGGCAGCCTGAGGGGTGGAGCTGTATTCTCTGCATGGTTGTGGTTTCGTACGTCTGGTGGCTTCTCACTGAACTCACAGTGGAAGCTGGGAAGGCAGCATCCTACCTAGCCAAGCTTCAGACAGTTGAGATGATAGTCAGCAGAGGCCTGCAGTGCTTACAGGGCAAACCCGTACAGGTAGACAACAGTGACCCTCACAGGTAGATTGTGAGACTTTAGAGGGAAGAACGGAGAGTGAATGCTGCCGTTTTTACTGAGTGAAGCAGTCAGAGAAACAAGCCCCAACCTGCCGTGGTGTGTTTTCGTGTTCTTGGTTTGTTTTTAAAGGAAAAATTCCAAGCCATTTTACTTAAGTGTTTAAGAAATTTTATCCATTGTTCCAGTATTCCTATACTTTCCTGAAGAAAAAAAAAAAATGGAAGTGTATTCTGTAGAACTAGGGTAGGCATTTTAGTTAATCGGATGGTTTTTTGCTACAGTTGAAGAAAGGGCAAGACAAGAATCTGTCAAAATATACTGGCTGCGTATTATGAAGTCACCCTTCATGAGAATCATGAGCTCAGACATCCTCAGGCAAGGGCTCCGGGGCATTTTTCAATTGACAGGCTTCAGGAAGTTCAATGTTCAGTGGTTAGTGTTGCTGAGGGTCGTGATAAAACAAAAATGGGCATGTTTGTTTGGTGGCTTTAAAGACACGGGTGTGCAGGTGTTCTTTGCTGCATCCTATAGACAGTGTGTTCACAGCGCACACCGACTCCCGCATAGGATGCTGGGACAAGCTTAGTCGTGTTAATGGAAACATGCTGGCTCCTTTTGGCGTTCCTTTACGTACTAGCAAAAGGACCCGTGTGTTCATGGGATTTTCTTTTCTTGTAGGTACCTTTGGAAAGCCTCTGAGGAGACCTCACCTGGACGCCTTTTCGAGCTTTGGGAAGCCGCCAGACTGTCAGCCGAGGCCCTTTCACATGACGGAGCTTTCCTCTGCAGAGTTGGACTCTGAGTCAGAGGAATATGCAAAAGAAAGGACCGAGTCCCGGGAGGATAATCACAGGGGTACCGATCAACAGACATTAGATACGTACAGGACTCCAGGCTGCCAGCCTTGTGACTTGGGCACATAGACGGGAAGGACCAAAGAAAAGCTTCCACATGCTACCTCATCTGGGCTCCTATTTAAAAGAGACAGAAGCCAATGTTTCTAAATGGACTTACAAAGTTTAAAAAGGAAAAAAAAAATGCTTTATTTATACAGAGGAACCAAAATTACAAAAAGTTATAAAAATTTATACCGGGAATAACTTTCATATAAAAATGCATTTTAAAAAGTATTTTATAACTTTGTTTTATATGAAAAATATCCTATGTAAATTAATGGTATAAGTCCATTTTATGTATTTTTATAAAGCCAGATTTCTTTTTATTGAGGATGAGTACTAAAGCCTTTTAAATAATCCCATCTTACACCTTTTTTTGAATAGAGGCCACTTTATTCTATTTTGCACATTGTGTTTAATAAAATGTGTCTTTTGGTGCCAAGCCCCATTTATACAATAAGAGATTTTATTGTTTTCAATGCATTTTAGACCTATTTCATTTGTATTATCACATCTCAAATGAATTGATGTTATATTTAGCATATTAAAAGTACAGCCAAAGGGCCCATTCAGCCCACCCCACCCCCTGGATGGTTAACAAACTATCGTCACGTGGGTCACAGCCAAGTGCACTCCGGCAGTCATCAGAAGGTGTTCCTAGCCTCACAAACAGAAGGAGATCTGACGCTGCCAACTGGTCCCAGCTGCAGCTCGAATGACCCCATAATCCATATTTCCTTAATGAAGCCAATGAATGCCTTTGTGGCCCGGTACCTACTGTCTGCCACAGGAGTTTCCCGTCCACCATGGCTTGAGTTAGAACTAGAAGGCTCTGGATTGCATGTCTCTACTGTGGAAAAAGCCATGGCGAAGGTGGTTTTCCATCCACAGTGGCTGTGGGCTGCCACCCCAGTCTCTGCTGCCTTACTAATCTTCACTGGTTATGGTTGGTGTACACACAGTGGCTGGTTCGACCGTGCACCGTGCTTCTAAAGAATTTTGAGGCATTTTTTTAATGAACGTATTTTACTAACTTTGTCGTCCCATCTGTTTGTTTTAAACAGTATTAAGGGAGGATGCTGCATGTCAAGCTCATGCATTTATGAATGCATGGGAATTTTCAACACTGTGTACCCTGGCTCCAAGCAATAGAGTAGATAAACCTACTACACTTGAGGGCTCTGATGGTAAAACTCAATATTTGTTCTTAGAAAACTCTTATTTATGTGCCATTTAAAGAAAACACTCTGGCCCATGATGAATTGCCATGACGAGAGTTAGTGTGCTTACTAAATTTAAAAAACAGACAATTGAAGGTGTGAGATTCCGCCATTTGCAGTTTTTTTAAAGTAAACTAACAAGGCTTGAGAAAGCAGAATCTTCTGTGAGGACGTACGTGGTAGAGGTAAGGTTTCCCTGCTCTGTGTCCTTCTCTATTGAGAACCAGGGTCCCAAGCCTAAGCCACGGCAAGCTTTCTTCTTAGACCTTAGAATCTAAGACAAGAAGTGCGTGCCTCCATGGATAGCCAGCAACTAGAAGTGATTTCCCTTACTATGGCTTTATTAAACTGTCAGATTTTCAAAATCTTATTGTGAATTTGTCTACATTGTTACCTGAAGTCCAAACGTTCACTTCTTAATTATGAATTTCTTTTGAAGAAGTTATTTTTTTCCAAATTTTGGCACAGAAGTTTAAGTCAACATCTTAAACTGAAATACTGGGTTACCGGATTGGGCAAATGGATCAGCAGTGAAGAACCCTTGCTGATTTCACAGAGGGCCTGGGTTCAGTTCCCAGCACTCTCAGGGTGGTTCACACTATCTGTAACTTAGTGCCAGGGGGCAGGTCTGATGCCTTGTGATGCTACAAGCACCAGATATATGCATGGTGCCCAGACATGATTGTAGACAAACTCTCACACAGAATAAGAAGAAATCTTTCTAAACTGGAAGAAAAACTGGCTTTCTCAGCATAATTTCAATGTGCTTTGGCCAAACTTGTGGATCAAATATAAATCTTATCTGTCTAGAAAAGAGAAACTCAGTTCCTCGGACATCAGCAAGAAAAGAGTATACACCATATTGATACTTCATAGTGAATGAACAAATATGTAGACATTAAATTCTAAGATAACATAAAGGCAAGGACAAATGTGAGATCCCTTGGTCTGCTCATTTTATTTTTGTGATGTTGGGGATCGAACCCAGGACATCAATTAAGTGCTTTATTCACTGAGCTTTACCTCCAACCTAAGATGTGGTTTGTTTCTAAGTAGAATTCTTCAACTTTCAACAGAGCTTTCTTGTTTTCCGGTAGAAGGTCACACCTCGTGCAAACATATCTTAATAGATGGTTGTAGAACTTTATCTTTCTTCATCCCACTGTTGACACTAAAGATATTTATTCTGTGTAATCTTGACCTCTTTAAGGTCTTGGAGTAGCCCTTAGCTTAATAAGCATCCACAATTACATGTATCGATTTCGTTGTCTCCCTGCAGAAGAAAAGCACAAATTATTTCTCAGAGCAAGGCTAGTCAGAACCTTTGGAATACTATGTACTGTCTCAGGAATGTGGGAGAAATAACTTGAAGCCAGCGCGACAACAGATGTTCGGTGCTGCGATGTTTCCAAAGACTGAGACCCGAATATCGCTGTAGAATGTTCTGTCTGTCTTCCCTGATCTCGGGATCTTGTCCATTAGGATCGTTTGGAGCTTGCATTTTTAAAGGCAGTATTCTGTTTACACATTGAATAACAGTACCCTGTCCCTCCGAAACAAAATCAGTCTTCAACAAAGTACCATTCCTTCATGCGTTGCTCCAGAAATGACTATTTACCAGAACTCTTTCTTAAGGCATTTAGTAACCTGTGTGACACAAGAGTATGGTAATGGGCTCTGAGAGATTTCACATGTGACCTAAAAGCGGTTGGTCCAGTCTTATAATAGACTCGCCAGAGGGTCTGTACGCTTACATTTACAGAATTAGCCCAATAAATGGAGTCACTTCTCTCTTTTATCTTTTAAGAAATTTGATATTGGATAGAGTGTCTTTTGACAAAAGTTATTTTATTTTTTAATAGTTTATTTTGATAATTTTTGGTAATTGATCAAATCTATCCTTACTGTAAAATTTCAGGTTCTCTTTCTTTCCTGAATACTTGAGTTTAAATTACATATCACGTATTAGCTATCCGTGATGAATGAACAGAAAGTTTAACCGATACTCATGCAGCTTTTTAGTCCATTTACATTGTCAAACGTTCTTAAGAATGGAAGTTATTCACAGCTGTTAAAAGTTAACGCTTAGATTTTTGTCTACGACTACTTTCTTTCCATGCCGCTTTATTGTGCCTGTGACTGTTTGATTTAGCTCAGTGTCTTAGGTCCAGTTTGAAGACAACACCTAATGTCACTGTGAGGTTATTATCATGGTTTTCACAAAGTTGGTTTATTTACTTTTTATTGTTTTTGCAGAGTGGTTTTTATGTTTGTTTGCTGTATTTGTTTGTTTTTTATTTATGTGCTTATTTGGTTAGGTGTAGTTGTTTTTGAGATGCTGAACTGAGCTAGGTGAAAGCTTTCCCAGGGGGCCACATCCCTAGGTCCATCAGTGTTTGGTTTGGTCCCTTTTTTTTCCATATGGCCTTTTTGGCCTATCTCCAGATCAGAGTTGAAATTCGGCAGCTCCCTCATTTGCCCAGCGTTATGTACACAGTTATTTTTCCCAGATTAATCAATGGACAGAAAGAGTTTCTCCATTACGTAAATGGCATGGTCACGTGCTACTCTTTCTTGTCCAGTAAGCCTCTGTGGCCAGCTCTGATTTTGTATCTAAAACGTTTGCTTTCTCACCGAACAACCTGCGTGTGTCACGCAAACTTGGAGCACCGTGGTGGCTGAAGCTGTTTGTACCTGTGTTCCCACCTGTCCAGAATGGTCCCAGCCCAGGTTCCCACTCATTTAATCATCTCCAATTCCTGTTGATTTGGCACCTGAGTTTTCTCAAGGTCTTCCACGGCTCTCCTGGGATCCCACAGTGGTACCTGGAGTTCAGGCTCTTACCTGTCATTTACAGGAGTGACTTAACAGGTCTCATTACCTATTTTAGTCAGTCCGTTGTCTTCACTATTACCAGAAATAGCTTTGTCAAGTCAATCTGAGTGGATCAAATGACTCACTTTACAGCATAACAAGGTGACCCCATGGTTACCATTTCAGCCATTTCTCATACCTTCCCCACAGTACTCTCAGACTTAAAACTCCCAGGCTCGGCACACTGTCTGCTCACGACCTTCCTTTCTGCTGAGGCCTTTACCTACAAAGCCATTTCATCGGCCCTGTACAGTATATGCTAACGTACATATTTATTCTTAAAATAAATATCCCTTCAAATTCCTAGGCTGGATACAAATTGTTTTCCCTCCCTGGCAGGCCTCTCCAGGACCACTCTTGTGGTCTTATCACAACCTTTTTGCTCCTGAGGCACAGTGAAAACAAACAAACAAACAAACAAACAAACAAAAAACACAAGAAAGTGGTGGTTCATGAAGCTGTCTGTGACGTATTGCAAACACTAAACAGTCAACCTGTATGCCAATGAGGTGGTTTCAACATAAACAAATGAAGGAATGAATGAAAATGACATGAGTTGGGTATAGTGTTGTCCCCAAGGGCCTCTGTGCTGGGAGCTTGGGCTTGAGTGTCACATGGTGTAGTGAGCCTGTAAATGTGGGGCCCAGTCCAAGGTAACTGAGTCTCTGCGGTCACCCTCAAACGGAATTTAGTAGTTCTAATGGGACCTGCTGGTTCCCACAGAGAAATGTTGCATCCAAGAGCCTGGCTAGCTGACCCCATGCTTGGTTTCCTGTCTTGTTTTGTGATCCTTCCCACACTTGCTCCTGTCCCCTTGGTGCCATATGCCACCTTCACCAGGGCCAGCATGCATCCCTCAAATCCCAAACCATGGGGTAAACTTCTTTGTAAGTGCCCAGCCTTTCTATTTCATTACAGCCACAGGAACCAGACTAAGATGAAGCTCAGAGTCCTTTTTTCTTTTTTTTTTCTTTTTGTCTGTTTGTTTCTTTGCTTTTAAACAACGCTCTAGATCAATGGTTCTCAACCTCCCTAATGCTGTGACCCTTTAATACAGTTCCTCATGTCATGGTGACCCCCCCCCCCAGCCATAAAATTATTACTGTTTGCTACTTTGTAACTGTAATTTTGCTACTGTTATTAATCTATCTGATATGCAACCCCTATGAAAGGGCTGTTCAAACCCAAAGGGTCAGCCCCACAACTTGAGAACCAGGTACCTAGACTCTGTGGCCTAGCACTTCCGGGGAAACTTAACTCATGTGTGGCGTGCCAGAGGTAAACAGGTAAGTACAGAGATTATTTAATTTTCTGTAGGAAAAGTAAATGACTCCACCTGACTGTATGGTGCGGGGGTGGGGACTCAGCTGTTGCTGCTTCTGCATTTACGATGCTAATGTCCTCTATCTATAAATACAGTTGCTAGAATCATATGCAGC